GGAAAATACTGGATAAGAAAATCGGACTCTCATGCTGTGAAATGCGTTGATTTATTTGTTTCAGTTGAAGTTAGGACCATCTCAAGCTCATGTAATACACTTGGGACCAAAATTGTAAAACGGAGACCAAAATTTCACACCTGGGACCCTGAAGTGTCTCCTAAATTCATTAGGGATGTTAAAATGTATTTAATTAAGTAACCATATACTGGATAAGAAAATCGGACTCTCATGCTGTGAAATGCGTTGATTTATTTGTTTCAGTTGAAGTTAGGACCATCTCAAGCTCATGTAATACACTTGGGACCAAAATTGTAAAACGGAGACCAAAATTTCACACCTGGGACCCTGAAGTGTCTCCTAAATTCATTAGGGATGTTAAAATGTATTTAATTAAGTAACCATGTAATGGCTGAAAATTTCAGCAGTTACACACAGGTGGCAGTCAGCTCCCATCTGGCCTCCCTCCACCCCATGCTGCTGCCTCTGATACAGAGGCAGCAGTGCCAGAGCAGGTGGCTCCCTGGGAGCTTTCTCATCCCTAAAATCCATACTGAGAAGCCTAAAATATAAGCACCCTGCTTGTTCAGGGGATGGACACCTGCAGTTCTCATCAATGTCTGTGGAATTTGTGGATGTTCAGCTCTGCTGATAACCAGACTGATTTTATTTAGGTATCTGAGTTGTTGGCTGCAGCCACTGGGGCAAAATCCCACCACTGTAGATAAGGAAAGCCACAAACTGGTTAAACAGGGGGAGGCAAGGGGAGAAGGGTGGCACTCTAGCCCAGCTGCTTCCAGTCCCACAGTTACCCATTCACATCCCTACTATGTACTAGAAAGCTTATTATGATGTCAAGCAGTTGATCTTGTATACCCTGGGCATTACACCAGTACAGTTGTAATGGCTGTAATTGGAACATATTTCTGATCCAGACTGGACCCAATTCAGCTCATTTCAAGCACCCACATGTGAACAATGGGCTGTCCAAAATATCAAGACCTCAATTCAGCAAGATATCCACATAAGCCTGTGTTAAGCACATGAGCATTCCCATTGAAGTCCATGAGACCCTTCACACATGTAAAGTTGGGCATGGACTTAAGTACCTGGCTGAATCGGAGCCTACACGTTTACCAGGTTCATTGAACTAGCAATCCTCCACCAGAGAGCCTGTTTCAGTCTTCTCAGCTGTAGCAGTTCAAAAATCATGAGTCTGGCCCTGCTACAATGATGAAACAGGCTTAAAACATCACATTTTTAAAAATAATACAGGTGGAGTCTTGCCTTCTGTCTTTTAACCTTAGGATTTGAATTTTCCACCTTTCCTTTGTAATCTTGAGGGTGAGAAAGTGATTGGGTTTTTGGTTTGTTTGGTTTTTTAAATGAAAGCCCAGACTTTCCCATAATCACATGACTCCAGAATCTGGTGTTTTAAGAATAAAGCATTAAATACCCACAACATTGCAATGAAATCTCAAGAGTTGGCAACATTTCTGTTTGCTCAGAAAAGACCTGAGCAAAAAGCAGAGTGTTTGCAGTGTGACGTGGGGATCCAAAAGCCAGGCTCCGGTAGACTGATGGGAGCAGGCTTCCTAAAATGCTTCTCACGGTCGCTGTTGTAGTTGGTCACTGAGGCACCTATGAGCCTCAGTCTTCAATCAGGACCTCATTGTGCGAGGCACGGTACAAACACAGAACAAAAAGAAAGTTCCTGCTCCAATTCACGTTAGTTGTGGATTTCCCCAACTGACTGGGTCCCTTTCCACGGGATAATTTTTGTGACCCGGCCCAGTCAGGAATGGAAGGAGTGATTCTGTATGGCCTAGCCACAGTCACTCTAATTTGTCTAGAAGCTGTTTTGTCACCCAGCTCCTGACCCTCATGTCGATCGTTTCTCTTGGTTTCTTGACAGATCTCTGTTTCGGGAGGTGGGCTGCCCCCTGTAAGTACCCTGACCAATATCCACAGCTTGTCCCATCACAACCCACAACAGTCCCAGAACCTCATCATGACCCCGCTCTCTGGCGTCATGGCAATCGCACAAAGTAAGTGCCGTACCGTGGTTTAGTTTGAATACGCTCTTGTTGATTGGGCTTGTATCCCTTCGGGCTGTGGCGTGTTTGCAGGAGTGGCCCGAGGCCGGCTGCGGCAGCTGGCGCCCCAGGCAGAATGCGTGATCAGCGCCCCTGCCTGCACCGCTGTCAATGGCCGTGACGTAATCATCGGGCGCCTCAGGCACCCTGTTACATCATCATCCAGTGCCCCTGGCGCCCCGTTGAAGGCGGTGCCCTAGGCGACCGCCGAGTCGGCCTATACTCACAGACCGCCCCTGCGTGTCTGGCTGTGTCTGAGTATTCCCCCTCCTCTGTTGTTCCAACTGGGTACAGTAGCTTTCTTCACCCCACAGCACTGTGTGGCCATGCCACATGCTATGGTGTTTTGCCACCAAGTTCAGAGGGGATGTAAGCGACTATTTGACTAGGTGTCATGAGTGAAATCCTGATGAGGTCAATGGGAATTTTGCCCTTAAATTCAGTGGGTTCAAGATTTCCCTTTGTGTGTATAGGGGCTAGATCTGACCACCATCTCTGGGCATAAACTCGGAGGAACTCTATTGAAAGTTGTGTATTTGAGAGGGGCATAAGACCCTTTGATTTTCTTTTACTGGGGTCTATTGTACACCCTGCTGTACCGCAGAGAGGGAAGCAGACTGTATAAAGTAGAGCCCTTACGGGTATCGCCAGTGTATGAAGATAAAATTTATCACGATTATTTATTCCATCGGAGCAACTGCCTCCATCCCTGACTCCCCTGGCACTGAAATCGTGACATGTTTTTCATTCTCTTCTGTTCTCACAGGTCTAAATACTTCCCAGGCGCAGAGCGTCCCTGTTATCAACAGTGTTGCCGGAAGTCTGGCAGCTTTACAGCCAGTCCAGTTCTCCCAGCAGCTACACAGTCCCCATCAACAGCCTCTCATGCAGCAGTCACCCGGCCATCTGACACAGCAGCCTTTTATGGCCACAGTGACTCAACTGCAGAATTCACACAGTAAGGATCTTGTCAGGTATTTGTTAAGGCCCAAAGGGAAGGATTTAGCTGCTATTATTATTGCCAATTTTCATAAATAGACATTGAATTAACTTTGCTTTTTCTCCTTCCTGAACTCCTTTTCTCCCCTTCCTGCCTCTTCCACACCCTCCCGCTGGCTGGTTTTGGAGCAGAAGCAAGAGGGTATATGTTCTTCGTGGCCTGGGTCATCTTCCGCTGGTGTTAGGACATCCCCTTTCCAAAGTAGCTTGGTTAATGGGGGAATCAAACACTCCAGCCCTAAAATAGCCAAGTAAAAAGGGTGCACTATGAAAGAACGTTTAATCCTAGCGAGCAGCAGGGGAAAGAAAACTCCAGAGCGTATCCAGAACCCCTTTCAGCATCTCCTAGAACTGGAAGGGACCTCGAGAGGTCATCGAATCCAGTCCCCTGCCCTCATGGCAGGACTGAGCAGCATAGATCATTCCTGACAGGTGTTTGGAGATACTGAAGAACAAAATTAGACACTGATGGAGATTCCACAACCTCCCTAGGCAATTGATTTCAGTGTTTAATGAACCCTGGCAGGTAGGAAGGTTTTCCTAATGAAGAACCTAAAGGGAGCCAACTCCTGGAGATTAGCGCTGCCTGTTGTTACATCCCCTCTTCTCCCATGCTTCCTTAGTACCCTTATTGCTTTTCCTTTAGAACACAGCACACACCTTCCCTTTACATCAGTGGTGGGCAACCTGCGGGCCAAATGCAGCCAATCGGGGTTCTATGTGTAGCCTGCGAGACATTTGGCTTACCGTTGCCCACACGCAGAGTGGTCAGATTCCACGGGTTTCCATCCACATCGTTTTTTTCCCTACTGGTATTAATAACATGACCCACGTGAAGCAAGCACACATGAAGTGAGGTGCGTGTTGATTGCACTCAACATTGATTGTGAGAGCCAGGCGCTACTTCTGCATCTAATCGAAGTGCTGCTGTGGTTTAATCAGCGCCCCCTGCAAAATTCTAGGTACGCAAACACAGGCAGCAAAACTAACCTATCCTGGGAGACCATCTTGTTTACGACAATTGCAGCCCACTGAAATTAAGGAGACCCATTCATGTGGCCCACTCACTAGCCTAGGTTGCCCATCGCTGCTCTACATAAACTTAATCCTTCATCCTCAGTCTGCAGGTCCAGGAGCCAAATTCTGCTCTCGATCACAGGTGTCAATCTGAATAATATCAGTGGAGTTACTCTGGATTTACACCAGGAATGTTAAATTTTGATTCACTAATCGAACAGTCAATGGGATTTCCATCGACTGTTCAATTAGTCGAAAAGGACTAGCACGGCGTTTCACCTTTGAAATGCACAAGAGCCCCTGCTGCGGCTCTTGTACATTTCAAAGTGGAAGCACCCACACGGAGCCCCCCGGGGTCAGCGGATTCCCTGCTGACCCTGGGCTCCATGCAGCGTTTCAATCTTTGAAATGTTACAAGAGCCCCAGTGGGAAATCTTGTAGATTTCAAAGTTGGAACGCCGCCACTGTGCCCCTGACCCCTCCCACAGAGCTGGAGCTGGGGGAACCAGCTTTTAAGCCAGCTCCCCCCAGCACACGCTCCTCTTCCCCCCCCCCCCTTGCTGCCTCTTTCTGATGGAGGCAGAAAGGGGGCGGGAAGCAACTAGTTGACTTGTGTGTCAGCTGTCCAATAGCTTTTGCTTATAGGATAGTCAGCTGGTTGATTAGTCGGTTACATCCCTAATTTACACCAGAGCAGAATGGGTTGAAGATCGTCTGTTTGTGATCTCATAATGCTTAGGCTTAGCTGCACTGTGCTGTGTATTGGAGCTGTCCCCGCACCTGCTACAGCCGGGCTGGGGCAGCCCTCCGCCTGCCATTTAACCATAACAGGTTAACCATTCGCATCCTTAGTGCACTGTCCCATCTAGTGGCACCAAGATCACTTACAGAGAAAATAATGAGTCTGCTCTACGGCTTTAGCTGCATGCCACCTGGCTGTTGGCTCATGCACTAAGCTCCGGAGGTCCCAGGTTCAGATCTGCCTGTCAGCAATATGTTATCCAAGGACATTTCTGAGTTTTCTTACTGCATTTGATAGGACCAAAGATGCTGTAAACATTGTCATTGGAGTCAGGGGGCCAGGCAGGTGAGGAAAAATAAACAGGTTTTGTTCTGTGGACATTTTGGGAGTCAACGGATGTTAACTTTTTCCCATATGGCTGTATTTATTGGTGGGGGCTTACAAAGGGAATCAGTAGAAGTCCATAGGATTTAGGTGCCTAACTTCTTTAGTCTCCTTCACAATCCTAGCCCTTTCCTTTCACCCAGCCCTGGTCTACACTATGACTTTATTTTGAAATAACCCCCCTGAAGTTGAATTTATAAGTGGAGCATCCACACTACCACGCCCGTTATTTCAAAATAAAGGGTCGCTTAATTCAAAATCTGTACTGCTGCTTTTCATCAGGAGTAACCCTAATTCCGAAATAGTCATTTCAGAATGATGGGAATGGGAATGCTCTGGTGCTGCTATTTCAAAATAACTACTCCACAGAGTAATTTGAACTAATTAGTCTCCAGTACTTCCTGAGGTTCTAAGTCTGAAGTAGCGTGTCCACGTTAATGGAGCCTTCCTTAGACTAATTTCAAGGCTTCCCTGTAGTGTGGACATGCTAGTTCAATTTTGTTAAATCGGGAATTAATAAGTTGAATTTAGTAATTTCAAAATAATTTCCTCATGTAGATATGACCTAATGATCTTTGCACTTTGTGGATGAACTGAAAACGTAGGTATGTGTGGGAGGATGAACTACCCTTATGTTCTGCAAATCCTGGCTTTGTTTTCCTGTTGATTTTTTTCAGTTGAACTTTTCTCGTATTGTAGTTCTACAAACAATAATTTTCACATTTGTGCCCTATTCGTTACAATCTCATGAACATTTCAAAAAAACCCTTATGATCCAAATTAGCGCGAGAAATCTTCTGTGTTCAGGGTTTATGTCCCTACATTATTGGGGAATCATGTTCTGTAAGATGTCTAAATATACAAACAATACATGTTTGGCCAACTGAGGGGAAGACTCTTTCAATTCTCCTTGGCCAGCAGATGGGTGATTATAGCAGCAACAGATGGAATATCTTGCTAATCATGAAAGCTGGTCAGAAAATGGAGGTGTGTGTTTTCCACAGAAAATATGGATTTTCAGCAAAATATTTTGTCTAAATTCTAAAATATGTAGATTATTAAATGCACTGTGGTGCCTCATGAGTGCTGTAGTTCTGGAACCTCATGCTTCCATTCTTCTCTCCACTAGAGTCCCTGCTTAGACTACATCTCCCAGGATGCATTGTGATCTCCTTGGGATGAAGGGAGACAGCCTGTCATGTCAGTCATATAATAATAGTAGTGCATCATGGGAAATGAAATTTGTCTGGAGAGACCAGCTATAGAGAAGTATTAAAGCATGGGGAACCTGAATTAGGACCTCCTATGAGGCACTGCAGTAGCATTTCACAACTGAAATATTTCTGTTTGGGGAGTCTACTATTTGATGAAAAATCAAATTTTTCTGCAGAGAGCAGACTTATTTTTTTTAAATTAGTTGAAAACCCAATTTTCTGTCAGTTTTTGACAAGCCCTTCCACACAACCAACCAGAGTTCAAGAATTTTTTTTAAACCTTTTTTTCTGGCTGAGGAGAAATAGATGGGAATTTGCTTCACGCTTTTCAGATGGACAAAGAGCTTGCTTCTTAACGATCATGATGCATTCCATTCCCAGTCAGCCTGGGAAATAAAACTCCTGTTCACTTCATCTAGGAGTTTTATTTGCACTGCCTCCCAGCACCCTTATCCAGCGCGCTGGCCCCCTTTTTTGTTGTTGTTGTTGCTTGTGCATTTGGTTCTCCAGCAGGATGGCCTCTCAGAAAGTGGCTTGAGGGTCGACACCCGTTTGATCAAACCAGGCCATCTTAATCCTTAATCTCCCCTTGTGTGCACGCTGCTGGGGAGAAATCAGGTGGATCCTCCAGAGCACTAAATCGGACACAGACCACTCCTCAGTGTCTTATCTTGATATTTGTAAAAACAAATGTGTTTGAAACCTTTTGGCTTGACTGTTTTGCATCTGCATGAAGACTACAGCTGGCATTTATAGGATTGCTGTCTGTCTCCTTTATTTTCATAGTGTATGCACACAAGCCGGAGCCTCCCCAGTATTCCCACACTTCCCGGTTTCCATCGGCCATGGTGGTCACAGATACCAGCAGCATCAGTACATTAACCAATATGTCTTCCAATAAACAGGTAATGGTGCATACTGGGAAAGCGGGGTACGTTCTGTGTGAATGGTTCAGGGTGAACGTCCCTGGTATACCTGCTACTGCTAAAGGAAGTTTAAGCCAATACTCTTGGTGGTGCATAGACCCAGTCAGAGGCGAATGGTGATGGGAGGGGTCCAGAGAACCACTGGTCACGTGACTCCCCTCAGCTGGAGAAAGGGCTGGGAAAAGCCCGCTCTGCTCTAGGCCCCGCCTCTCCCTGCCCCTGCTCTGCCCCCACCCCACCCTTGCTCTGCTCCTGCCCTGCCTCTTTCCCCACCTGAGGTGGCCCAGAGGACTAGCAGGGCAGGGGGGCCAGCACCAGCAGCGGGGGTCAGACCTCCACCCTGCACTCATTGGCATTGGCTGGGGAAGCAGAGCAACATGGCCCCCGGCTCACTCAGCTCCCACAGCCACATTGTTCTGTTTCCTGCCTGGAAGTGTGGGGTCAGTCCTGCCTCTCCCCAGAGCAGCATGCCGGGAGCACAGCAAGCTGGGGCCACCAAGCTCCGCTTCCCCCCACCCTGCCGCTTGTCCTAACAGCTCTAAAGCAGAAACAGAAGGGGAGGGAGTCCCAGAAGGAGTGGCTGGGCTCCCTGCCCCAGAAATGAGCTGCAAGCCCCAACCCCTCGGGGAAGGGGGCAAACTGTCAGCTCAAGCAGTGGCCTGGGAAAGCGGGGCCCTTGCCACAGCACTAATGAGATATTTTTAAAACGAATTTTAAACTAAGGTCCTGTCGACTAACACGGTAAATTCAGGAACTGACTCTCTAGACCTGGGGTTGAAAAATGCCTGTTAAATGGCTTCTTTACCACTTGAATGGCTCTTTCACAGGTTCAGTGTGCTGCTCACAGGTCTGGCCGACCTTTTCAGTTTCAAGTTAACTAGATCCTCTCCGGAGGAAGCAAGAGCCACAGAACAGAGATAGGAAGAGGCAGGTGGGTGGACATTAAGACCCAAGTGTTCGGGTGCCCTGCGCAGTTGTGTATTCTGTGTGTGGGTAAGGACAGCTCCAGGAGGAAGGAAATACTTTTTATTGATTCAGTTCCTGGTGGTAAAAGAACACCACCGAGCTTTTCTCCAGGTCTGGGGAAGGGACTCAGAATGTCACAGCTAAATACAAGGTGGAACAGATTGTTTAGCACAAGTAGTTAACACGTTGATTTTAAGATGGGATGGGCAAGCGCCAGCCCGTGAGCCGGATCCAGTCCACCAGGGTTAGCCCCTGGCAGGCCCCCACTGCTATATTTACCTGCATCTCCGCAGATATGGACGATCACAGCTCTGGTGGCCATGGGTCACCGTTCCCAGCCAATGGCAGCTGTGGGAAGTGGTGTCCCGGTCTGCGCCACTTCCCGCCGCTCCCATTGGCCGAGAACAGCAATTCGCAGCCAATGGAAGCTGCCATAGCCCATACCTGTGGAGGCAGAGGTCAATATACCGCCGGCGGCCCACAGGGGCTAATCCTGGCAAACAGCTGCCGTGTTATTGGCCGCCTTTGTTCCAAGACCATTCATGATGAACTGGTCCATTAGCACCCTGGTAGTCATAGACAAAGAGGGAGATCAGTGGGGTACAGATTGTTGTAATAAGCCATAAATCCAGTGTCTTTACAAAGGCCATGATTTTTAGTGTCTAGCAAAATTTGGGAATTTAAGCTCCTAGCCTCACCTTTTGAAGGTGGTGTGCACGGCAAAGTCAATGGACCAATTCATCTCTGACATCACCCCATCAAAGTCAACTTACCTTCCATCATTCAAAATGACTTTTTACTGCTTCGGCGTCATCTACAGTTAACTGAGAATGGCAGCAAACGGTTACACTGAGATGCTGTTTCCACACTGCGAGTGACACAAGCCGGCATAACCGTCTAGAGTCACCAGCGGAAACTAGATCAGAAGCTGGGACCACGGCCCTCAGCTTGTGTGTTTCGGCATCGCTCTACTGAAGGGATTGGGCCATAGCGCCCCCTGCTGGTGAAAACTGTCCCAGACCTAGTGACGTCAATACAGCTAGGCTAATTTATACCAGCTGTCAGGGCCATTGGTGAGGAAGGACACTGGGGGCCACTGGCCAAATGACCAGCCACGACTCCTCCCCGTGCTGCCTCTACCTCCCTTCCCACCTCTTCTCCACCCCTGCGCCAGCCCTTCGCCTTAGCCTCCTCCCCAGAGCGATGTGACCCGAGGCACTAGAAGCGGGGAGCCTGGCTCCCTCAGCAGGGGTCGGGCTCCCCCACAAACATCGGCAGCAGCTGAGGGAAGCAGAGCAATGTGGCTCTGTTCCCCCCAGCTCGTGGCTGTGTCACTCCACTTCCCGCTACCAGTGAGCGTAGTGATGGACCCCCCCGACCAGGTAACGCGGCCGGGAGCCGGGGGAGTAGAGTCACATTGCTCCACTTCCCCCTGCTGCTGCCAATGAGTGCCGGGGGGAAACCACCTCCTGCAGTGCGTGCCAAGCCCTCCATTATTCCCCTGGGCTGCCCAGAGGCTCTGGCCCCTTGTCCCTCCCATCCACAAGGTTTGGAGGGTCACATGCCCACTCAGTCCCCCCTCACGCATCACCCCTGCCAGCTATAAATCTGGTCCCTACCCCTAAATCTTTATAGGTGACTCACCTACGCTGCTGTCAGTTTGGCGTGTTAGGGCTTTCATTTTTAGTGTCCAAACAATAACCCTTTTTAAAAAAAAAAAACCAATCTGCTCTGAGGGCAGTGGGAAATATGTGGCCCTTATCGATTGCTAGATAAATAGGAGACAACCTTGAACTTGCATCCAGATAAACTTTTTTTTTTTTTTGCTAAGCTTTGATGGTGGGAACTGAAAAATCTCTGCCACAAATGCACAGCAAATAATGCCTGGAACTGCTGCGCAGGTTCATTTCCACGGATGTCCTTACAATGTCCCTGCGAGGGTGGCACACGGAAGACCCTGCCACCATGGAAAACTGAGAAGCAGTGGGATCATGTACGACCAAGTACAATGACCCAGCCGCATGGCTGGTGTCCACTGACGCAGCTCCAGTGGAGTCAGTGGGCCGGATCGCCCAGGGGTGCCGTGTGGCAGAGTTCCTTTGAAGTCAGGGGCGATGTACTTAGCGCTAGCGGACGATCTGGCCCCATGTGTGGGACCCGCCACAGACCCGTTCTCTCACAAAATGGGAGGTGAAAGTGTCATTCCAAATCCCAGTGCCCTGCGACTCCTGTCAGGTTTCCCACTCTTTGTAGTGAGCAGGGAAAACATTTATCTGTGCCCACAAATCTCAATCAGTCGGGCAATCGGGCGCATCAGCACTCCTAGGGAATACCATTTCCTTTGAAAGGCTTTATCAATCCATCTGGTGTGCGCTCAGCCCTAACGTCTCTCTTGATTAATTACTCTGGCTTACCCCGCGTTGACTTTGATGCTTGCCTGCTGAAACAAGCCCTCCGAATACAGGAAATGTTCTTTTAATCAAAATCGCGCTTGCTGCTCCCCGCTAGCAGGCCGGTCATGGAGCCTAATGGTGGCTTATGCCCTTTGTTGGAGAGAATGATCAGCCTACCTTGAAGCATGGCTGGCCACGATAATCAAATCGCTTTCTTCCCTCCCTTCCCCCTACACACTCTCACTCTTTTAAATGTACTCTTGATTTAGCCAGTGCAAACTAAGTGCTGAGCGCAATAAGCGAATACCGTGTTACCCACCCGAGCACCTGATCTGCAAATTGTACTGAGCATAGCATGAAATTTATCTCTGTGCACAGGCCCGGCACCAGCCAAATAGTGCCAGGAGACCGTCTTGGTGGTGATCATCTTGGTTAGGACAATCTTGCAGCCCACTGAGACGAAGGAAGGTCACTTGTGTGGCTCACTCACTAGCCTAGGTTGCCCATCACTGAGCTAAAGTGATGCAAAGGACTGTGCATTGGAATGAATTTCACTCCCAGCAGCTCAGTAGTAAGTGTCCAGGGCCGCTGCATAGAGAGGCTTGCTCTTCTATGATCCGTTCTGCAAATACCATCTAAGCGTTAAGGGCACAGGCAAGAAATACTTTTCATCTCTATCCCAGATTTTTCTTTTTTCCTTTTTTACTGCTTTTAGCAAGAGCCGAGCAGAATTCTGAAGAAAAGACAGTAAGGGACGGTTCCAAAGTCCTTTTCATAGAGGTGGGCTTTGAATCCGGCCCAAAGATCCCAGCGGATCACTTGGAAATTTTACTCTATTTTGACACACACAAAAAGCCAGAAGGTTTCTTCCTTCCTCCCTTCCTTCCTCCCTCTCACTTAAAAAATCTTTCCTGATCTCATCCAGCCTCAAACAGGTTGCTAACTGGATTTTCTGCTCTGTGTGTTCAGAAGGATAGGAGCGCTGATGGTGAAAACCGAATGCTGGTGGTTCCCCGTGGTCACGTTCCCATGTGCAGGGAGACAGCCCCGTGCATTTAAGCTGAGTGTAACGCAGCTGGGCAGCCAGCCACAGCAGAATGTCCAAGACAGCTGGGCCATCTCGTCCCGGCACAGACACGGCAATGAGAACTGAAGCCAGCACCTTCATCGCCAAGGCCCAGGAGAATAGTCAGTAGGAGGTACTTGCTGCTGATTGATCAGATTGACCATTCCAGCCAGTAGTGGACAACGGCGCATGAAAGCAGTAGCTTAACTAGGTCAGAGGAGGCACCTACCACTTTCTTGGAAGCTACTTTGTGGAGGTGTGCGGAGAGGGGGCTTATAATACCTTGTGAGGATGGGCTGCTGCAAGAGGAAGAAAATCGGGGCAAAAGAAGAAACATATTTCGAAGGAGTTCAGCGTGTGTGTAGAGGAGCAAGAAGAGGGCATGCCCCTGATGGTCTCCACTCCTGTTAAATGCCACTATTTGGACTTAATCAGACTGGAGAATCTATATGGTTTGACCAACCAATAACAATGAAAGGAAAATCTCTGAAAATGCCCAATGCAAACTCTTCTATAAGATTTAACCACATTTTGAAGGAGAGGTTTCATGTGAACCCTCTCTTCCCTCACCTCACCTCTCACTGCCACCTTCCAGCTCAGCAGCAGGGGGGATTATCTGTGTAGCTTGTTGGCTGGCTTGGTCCTCCCAGCTACCCTGTGGCCCTCCCTCTCCTGCTGGATGGGCCAGTCGCCGTGATCTCTCCCCATCCTGCTGGAAAGCAGGAAGAGGAACACGGCCAGAGTCTCCTTGCTCAACAGTCCAGAATGCTGAGCTTTGGGCCGAGCTCCCCAGCATCAGCTCTGAGCACTGGGCTGTAGATCTCTTATCAGATGTTTATGTTTAGACTTGGAAGAGGCAAATAACTCCCAGTTCCTTTGACAACACTTAAGGCCAAGCCGCCATTTTATTGCATTAGCAAACATCTGATAGCCGTGAGGCACATCCCTAAAGACATGTCATAGAGGCCTCCTGGCGGCTCCTTATCTCCCTGTTATGATGTTTGTTGATCGGCAAGGTCACCCCAGGCTTTCTCCATCTCCACCTAAAATCTGAAAACTAAAGAACTGAGTAGGCGAGATGAGAGGGGCTGGAGAGTGAAGGATCATGGAATCTACAGGTGGGAAGTAATTGACGAGGGCTCCCAAAACCAGAGGGACATCCACGGCTCTGCTGTGTCCCTCCTGCCCTTGCTCGAGAGAGTCTTATTGCGTATACTCTCAACTCTCGTGCCTCTGGAGCAATGCTTCCTCTACTCTTTTCCATCTGTGTGCGGATTTTTTCCATCCATGGGCGGAATACATTTGCATGTGCATGTGCGGATGTGCACCACCAGTAGGACCAACAAACCCAGTGGTGGGCGCTCTGCTAATCAGCTGGGCGGCAGTGGAATCTCTTCTGAGTGGCCGCACACGTGCACAGCTTACTGGAAATGTGGCTTTGGAGCCTCTCTTGAAATACAGCTGCACCTTGTCTAGCGTGGGGCTGGAGAGGTGAGAAGAGGTTAGGCTTTGTGTAGCCCGGTGAGAAAAGAAACACGGAGGGGCATGTTATACACAGTGGCTTCTCTTCTCATGCCAAGCATTTTCAAATAAAATCTGTGCTGGTGAGAGAAACCAGAGACTGGATCCCCCTGTGTAGCCACAAAACACAGCAGCAGCAGCAGCAAAGTGAGCCTCTCCTATGCTTCCCAGCCAACACGCTTCACCCCTGATCTGGAAGGACGACCTTTAGGGGCACACAGTGAGTTCCACTCCCTGCTGAGCATGGCAGTTAGGTAGCCCCAGTAGTGTAGATCAGTGTTTCTCAACCTTTTTTTTATTAAGTACCCCCTTTACAAAAAATTATAAGTACCTCCCTACCTACAGTTTTCAGACACACAAAATGTTTTTCTACCATTGCAACGCATTTGTTTAAACAACTTAATCGTAAAACTTAAAACAAAGCTCTGTAAAATTTAAAACAAAAATTCAGTTTTCTTCAAATTTCAGTTGTGTTAACTTACCCCCCAGACTTCTCTCGAGTACTGCTAAGGGTACTCATACCACTGGTTGAGCAACACTGGCGTAGGTGGTGTGATGTGGACACCGAACTAGAAGGCATGGAGGCCTAGCAAGTTAGAAGCCTAAATATTGTGGGGATCTGAGTTTGAGAGCCTCGGCTCATTGTATATAGGTCACGAAAAAGCCATCAGAGGGTAATAACTCCTAGCCTGTAACACAAGCTGCCCCCAAGCAACTGTTAATTCGTGTGAGTGCATTTACTCGGCAGGTTTCCATACGCTTCGCTGATCTTGGCAGCATTGCAAAGTTGAATGAACTGGTCTTGAAGCAATTTCTCCCATAGGCTGGACACACATGGCCTCCCCCCTCCCTTTTTTTTCAATATCTGGTATGAAAACTATTTTCCCCACTATGTTCCCCATGGCAGTTCTCAAGACCTGGGGCATGATCTAACATCCACCAACTTCTGTGGGTATTAGACAAGGCCCCAATCAATATCCTCAACCACCAAGTCAGCTGACAGGATTGGATGTGTAAAAATCTAAATGCTATAGGCCCAGTCTGCAACCTTGGAATATTTCCTCTTCAATTCATTGGGGCTATTGGGAATTTATATAGACAGGGCTCGACAAATAATACAATCTACTCGCCCGTGGTGAGTAAATTGTAACCCAGAAGAGCCAGGTTTGGGCGATCTGTGCATGCGCAGATTGCCAGACAGCGCAGCTGGCGAGCGGGCCTTGCCGCGGTTCGGTGAGCCCTGCATATAGACAGGACTGATCACTGTGATCCAGATCCTTTAGGTGACTCTTTCATTTTAAGGGGAATTGGGTGCCTGAATACTTGAGGGTCTCAGCCTAGGTCAATAAAAAGACCTACTTGGATAGGATACTGCAGGTTGTACCTTCCTATACCGGGACTCTCTGGTCCAGCAACATCCTCAGATGTTCCTAGACCAGACAGCCCCAATGCTGGGAGCCTAGTGACAGGAGGGCTAGTGGCTAAGAGCCCTGCCTGGCTGGGAGCCCAGCAGCTGGGACACTGGCCAGGGCCGGATCCAAAGGCAGCTGCAGTACATCCAAGGTTGGTGGCTGGCAGCCTGGGTGCAGCTGGAGCTGGTGCCTGGCAGTGAGGCTGGGGCCAACGTCCAGCAGCGTAGCCAGGGCTGGCGTTGGAGATGGAGCAACGCCCAGGCCAGAGGCAGGGGCCGGCCATGCCGGAAGTAGAGCCAGGGGCAGGGAGGGATGGCAGGCAGCAGGTGGCAGGGTACCTTCCCCGTTCCAGCAAATTCCCTCGTTTGGGATCAGTGAGGTCCCAAGGGTGCTAGAGCCGGGAGGTCCAACCTGTAGCAGAAATCCATGGAGTTGAGGTGGCTTGGCACATTGAAACCCTAGTGCAGGACAGAATGTTCTTCTCCCATAGCATTATGGAAGGAAACGCAGAATACAAATCAGTGTATCACACTGAACGTTTTACGAACACCTGAAAGTTCTATCCTGAGTGTCATAAAATCATCCAGGTCCAATGACTCCACTTCTGCACATTGCAACATTTTTCTCTGTGCTCTCTAACTTACGCATCTTGCTTCCTTCCATCCCAGTGTCCCCTGCAAGCCTGGTGATGTTCCACACCTCATTTATTCTGCACCTAGCAACAGGAACTTATTTTCGACAACATCACGCCGGTAACCAACAAAGTCTGAGGGTTGTTGCCATAGTGACGCTCAGCCAGCTTGTCTAGTGCCATAGCGAGAAGCCCATTAACCTGAGAGAGAGCTGGCGTTTCAAGACGAATAGCCACCCTTCTGTGACTTGACAGGACCGAAGTGCCTCCTTCCAGAGACTGTGCTTTTCCATTTCCTTCACGCAGTATTTCCAAGAGATGTCTTGAGGATTTTAAGTATTTGCCTTCAAGAGGGCACTGGCTCTCGGGAGAAAATAAGAACAAAATGTACTACTGACTGGCAGAAGAGGATGACGGAGATCAAAAATATTTAAGTTATATTCCTTCCCCAAACAGACTGATGAGACTGGGATCTGTTACTTGGAGTTTGGAGGAAGGAATCTCATGTGCTGTTGAACTGAGCCAATTAAATTGTATATATAGCTAAACTTCTCTCCTCTCCAACCCTTCCATCTCCATCTATGCCTAGAGAGCTATATTAAAGAAGTAAATTTTGTCCAATGGATGTAAACTACTGTAATTAAGTGCAATTTCCCCACCTGTATATATTGCCAACAATTTTCTTATTTCTCGTTTTGTAAAGGTCAGATCTGAAGGTTTTTCTTTTTTTTTTTCTTTTTAACAAAATCACGAGGAAACATCTGGGCCTAGTCGATGGCTGTCAACCAGTGAGGACAGATACAAGCTCACCCTTCATGCAGGTGCCACTAAAGGCTGATAAACTGTGCTCTGGCCAATAGTCCAAACCAATATGAACTCAAATTTAGGGAAGGACCAAGAATGAAATTCACGACCCAGTGGCCAACTACCCAGCGACCATGAAACGTCCCATCCATCTGGCAGCTAGTGCCAATATGCAGATCTAAAAAATGTATGTTATTCGCTGACACGTAGACGTTTTGAGTGAGAATGATCAGGGGCAAGGGAAGAGGTCCTAGTGGAATTAAAACATGGACTTTTTTGGGAGTTTTCAGCTTACAGGTGTGGGGAGTTTTCCAAGTGTGCCTGTAGCATTTGCGGCCATGTATCTGAATGGGCTGGTAACAACACTTTTTAGTTGGATCTTTCTACACGTCCAAAGGGGTTCGGTGAATCCCTGATCTTCTTTCGAGGTGGGGAGGAGAGAAGTGAAATCCTTCCTGTCATCCTGGGAAGTGAAAAGGGATTTGGTGCCTCATATCACCTGGTTTCCTGCCCAATAAGATTTGTAAGTAACCCTAAGTTATTTACAATGATCTGGCATTGTAAGTAACTGCAGAGCTATCCCTGTTGTGTCTCCCTCACAAATAAGCAAGCCATGCCCCTAGTACTGATGCCACTTCCTAGCCAGTTGCTGGCTTTCCTTCCTCGGCAGGTGGACAAAATCTCTCTAGTGCCAGAATTTGGAGTGTTTCATGCTGACAGCCAGACACATAACCACTAAGGGCCTCTTTGTCATACTCTCACTCAGACTGCGTAGAGTCTTGCACAAATAACAGTCCTTTTGAATGCAACAGGACTCGCCGTGTGAGGTACTTTGTAGTCCGCTGTGGATAAAAGCATCACAATCTGGCCCTAACCCAGAAATGTACGTGTTGGAAAATGACTATCAAGGGGCTGTGATGGCTATGAGTGCGTATTTCCGTTGATGCACTGGCACAGATGCTGTGCCGGACGGTTCTTTACTTGTTGGCTTTTGAGGTATTTGCGAAAGAGATCCTGGAAGAGGAGAGAATTATTAAGCAAGAGGCTCATTGGTAGCTACAGGTTGAACCCCTTTAGTCTGGCACGGTTGGGCCTGCCCGGTGTCGAACCAGAGAATTTGCCGAACCACAGGAGGTCAATATTGTCGAGCAGCATTACCGACACTTCCACTGCTTACTGGGCTTGTGGAAGACATTTAGGGGTAAGTTAGAGCTAACAGCACAGAACAAAGACACAGGACTCGTGGCTGTAAACAAACTTTATGGGACCACAGGAAACTTGGCCACAGCCATGATAAGTGGACATCCGGCTAACTGAAATCATGCCGGACTATAGATATTGCTGGACCAGAGAGTGCTGAATTAGAGAGGCTCAACCTATACCAGTTTTCTCTTCCTCCCACCCCGCTCCCATTCCAAATTCTAACTTTGCTTCCTTTGCAATCAATAACAAAAAGTTCATGAACATCAGAATTAAGGCCCTAAGAAAGGCGACCAAATGATTACGGGTAGCCAGTAGGGGATGCACAAATAACTTCTTCCCTGTCCTCTACACTCCCAAATTTGGGGGGAACTAGAACTCCTGTTTCTCCATCCTGCCAACAACTCTAGAATGTAAGTCAGACAGCTAACATCTCCCCTGCCTGTAGCTGCTATAAGACGACAAGGGAGACTGAGGCAGACACTCAACTGTTATCAATCGACATTGCTCTATTGAAGTCAGTGGAGCAACACTTGATTTACACTAAGGCTCCAGTGTAAAATTTTCAAAAGTGCCTCAATCCAATTTTCAAAGGGATTTAAGAGCCTATCTCCTTTCAGTGAGACTTAAGACTCCTAAATGCCTAAATCACTCGCAAATGGGAAAGGCTCCTAAATCACTTAGACACTGCTGAATTTGTAGTGCCTTAATTCCCAACTCTGTGAGCAATGAAAATGGGTAAAGCTCAGTCGTGTCTCCCCGCAAACAGAAAGATCAATGCTAAATATACAAGCAGCAGTTTCTCCTTTTGAGGCGGGGCCATCTTTGACTCTGTACAGCGCCTAGTACAGTGGAGTCCCAGTGTTTATTGGGATTAGTAGGAATTACTGGATGACAAGTAATAAATCATTATGAACTGGAAAGCAATCTTTGGAATGAAATTTAATTTGATGTATATCATAATTAAATACCGGTTTTTTTTGGTTCTCTGTCAGTGTGTGATGTATACCGAAAACACAGGAAATACTGTATTAATAGCCTCATCTCTTCATGGACAAGAACAAGATGAATTGAAATGATTGCCAAGTAATTCTAGGGTAGAGGTGTCATAAGCATAAGGTGCGCTTATGAGTACTTGTAATGGCCATTGCTGTATTACAGACGTTGATTCAACAGGCTATGTGGAAAGCAGAAAGTCTTCTCGTCAAAGAATAAAAACAAATTGTTTGCCTCTCTCTTGAAATATTGATCTTGATTTCCAATTGGCCAGATTTAATAAGTCAAATATTTCATAGTCACATCATGGAATTAACTTGAGAAAGAAATGGGATCCAGAGGTAACATTTGTTTTCATGCTTGTTCATTTCTTTCAGCTTTATGCTTCCCAACTCCTGACTGGAGAGGATGCAGAAACAAACATTTCACAAGAAAAATTCTCGTTATAGACGTATTTCTGCTTCTGGCTAGCTAGAATCAAGGAAGACCAGAAATCTCCCAAGAAAACCATTGCCTCTAGATTCTGAGCCTGATTTTCTTAAACAGGTTCAGACTGACAAATTTCAGCTAAGTGCCCAAACTAAGGGTATGTCTACACTTCAGTGCTATTTCAAATTAACTTAATTCGAAATAGTTAATTCGAATTAAGCTAATTTGAAATAACGCAACTATACACAAAAACTATTTTGAAATAGCATTTTGCTATTTTGAAATAGCACATCCACACTGAGTGGACCCTGAATCGAAGTTAAGGCTGGCCGGAACCAGTGCCGGCAGGGCATCAGGTTAGGACTTAAGTGTGTGGTGCTGCTACCTGAGGCTAACTGAGCTCCGTGCTTAAAAGGACCCACCCTGGGCAGACAGTTCTCAGGGTTCCCCGCTTGCTTGCCTATCTCGATGAGGGACAGCAGAGCAGTCCTGTCTTGAAGTGCCCTGAGTGCCTGCATTTGGGACACCACAGCATTCGGCCACATGGAGCCAGAGCTGCCCCTGGACATGCCGTTGCGTCTCGTGGGGTCGTTGCCATCAGAGGAGAGTAAGTTTTCCTGGTTGTGCCCAGAGTGGCCACCAGGGCTCCCTGGGAAGGTCTGGAGGCCCTTATTTCGAATTAAGTGTCTACACAGCACTTAATTCGAAATAACTATTTCGAATTTGGTGTTACTCTTCGTAGAGTGAAGTTTACCAAATTTGAAATAAGGGCTCCACTATTTCGAATTTATTTCGAAATAGCGGTTTGCCTGTGTAGATGCGTTTAAAGTTAATTCGAAATAACTGCTGTTATTTCAAATTAACTTTGTAGTGTAGACATACCTTAAGCTACTTATGCAGATAAACCCACAACACTGACCCCTAGATCCGCAGTTGTTTAGGCCCATAACTCCTATTTCAGTGGAAATTAGGAGCCTAAATATCTTTGAGGAACTGGGCCTAAACCATCACCTTTCGAGTCTTCAAGTTCATTTGACAAAGACCAAACTTTGCACCTATATAGCACTTTGCAATCAAAAGCCTCGATTACTTTTATTAAGTTAAATGCATTTTACCCTATTTTATAGATGGGGTAAATGAACCACATCTATTATCCTGGTTTTCAAAAGCGCTGAACAGCGCCCCTCCCTGTGGATGGGAGCTCTTTGTCTACCTTTCTGAATGTTACATCCTAAGTGGTTTATTTAATGAAGATCGTTACATACCACAGTTGGTAATGGTTGAGGTACAAGTCTTGGTAGAATAAGGTCAACACCCTACCATAGCCTGCCTTCCCTGTCTTCCAGTGCTATGTTCAATCCATGAGAGCTACAGAGCCAAAACTTCAGACAAGGATCTAATTTTGAATTGGGCTTGATTAAGACAGGCCATTTACAATGCAGTGAGCCCAAATCCCAGATATCAACATCCCCAAACATTGCAGTGTTGACAAACCTGAATCTATTACTGTCTAAATGACAAAGATTTAACATGTGAGTAGGTAGGTAGTGAGCTTCTGGGAAAACATCGTGCTCATTTTGTTTTGTTTGTACAGATGTTTGCAGTTTGAGCTCATTTTGTTTGTTGTACAGATGTTTACAGTTCCCTGGGTATCAATCACTCTCCCTTCAGTTAAATTGGATTCTATGATGAATGGTAGTTTCATGCTCCGTACTGCTGATGTAACAGTCTGAAGTTCACTCTTAAATACTAGCAATTTCACAATGCATTTGTGCTTAGTTACAGCTAATTTCATACAACTCACAGAAGACTAGCTTTGGATCCTCTTATGAATGCTGACTAGTATCTTACACCAAAGAAGCATAGACTTCAGGGCGTCCACACTATAAGTCGCCCTGGTATATATCCTTTCCGCACTAACGTCGCTGATGCTTGTAGGAACTAAAGCATTGTAAGTCCTCCCATTCCCCGCTCCGAAGTCTCACAAAAAAAAAAAATTGTGCAAATGAAAGTCAATGGTGGGGAAATTTCCCACTTCAAGTTGTTTCTCTGTAAGTCCAAGTTTTTGAATGTATTTTGGACTTATAGTGAGGATGGCCTGTACTAAACTGGAAGGGACCTCGAGAGATCAAGTCCAGTCCCCTGCTTTCATGGCAGGACCAAGCACTGTCTAGATCATCCCTGACAGGTGTCTGTCTAACCTGCTCTTAAATATCTCCAGTGATGGAGATTCCACAACCTCCCTAGCCAATTTATTCCAGTGTTTAACCACCCTGAGGGGAAGTTTTTCCTAATGTCCAACCTAAACCTCCCTTTCTGCAATTTAAGCCCATTGCTTCTTGTCTTATCCTCAGAGGCCAAGGAGAACAATTTTTCTCCTTCCTCTTTTTAACACCTTTTTAGGTACTTGAAAACTGCTATCATGTCCCCCCTCAATCTTCTCTTTTCTAAGCTAGACAAGCTCAATTCTTTCCGTCTTCCCTCATAGCTCATGTTTTCTAGACCTTTAATCACTTTTGTTGCTCTTCTCTGGACCTTCTCCAATTTCTCCACATCTTTCTTGAAATGTGGTGCCCAGAACTCACACAATACTCCAACTGAAGCCTAATCAGCACAGAGCAAAATAACTTCATGTGTCTTGCTCACAACACTCCTGTTAATGCCTCCCAGAATCACGTTTGGGTTTTTTTGCAACAGTGTCACACTGTTGACTCCTATTTAACCATGAGTGCCTCTGTTGACACTTATAGGCCACATATGCAGGGGGTAGAGGGTATGTATATCAGAGTTTTTCCATTGAAATCAGTGGGGCTGTGCTGGTATAGGCTTTTAAATCAGCTGAGACTCTGGCTTAATTGTACTCCACATAGAATAAGATGCTACCCAGCATGTGTAGTATGAGTATCTACTACTAAGTAACTTGCTATATCTTATCTGATGCTTCAAGCAGAATGCTACTTTTTGTCTGAACATTCCATGAGGGTCTTGCTGAACCATCTTTCACGTGGTCATAGAGTGATGGTCCTAGAATGATGCCTTTGACAAAGTGGTTTTTACTCATGAAAGCTTATGCCCAAATACATCTTGTTGCTTTTACATCTCCAGACTAACATGGATGCCCCCCTGAAACTTGTCATAGAATGATGATAATTTTAAAAGAATGATTTTTTTTTTCAAATACACTTTTGTTTGAAGTGCCTGTTTCATAATTGCTGTCCCCAAAAGAAAGCCAGACCCTATAGAATCAAAGAATCATAGGGCTAGAAGAGACCTCAGGAGGTCATCATATCCTAGACCCTGCCCAGAGCAGGACCAACCCTAACTAAATCATCCCAGCCAGGGCTTTGTCAAGCTGGGACTTAAAAACCTCTAGGAATGGCGATTCTACCACCTCCCTAGGTAACACATTCCAGTGCTTCACCACCCTCCCAGTGAAATAGTTTTTCCTAATGTCCAACCTAGAGCTCCCCCACTGTAACTTGAGACCATTGCTCCTTGTTCTGCCATCTGTCACTACTGAGAACAGCCTCTCTCCATCCTCATTGGAACCTCCCTTCAGGAAGTTGAAGGCTGCTATCAAATCCCCCCTCACTCTTCGCTTCTGCAGACTAAACAGAGCCCAGTCCCTCAGCCTCTCCTCATAAGTCATATGCGCCAGACTAAATGAGCCCAAATCCCTCAGCCTCTCCTTGTTAGTCACGTGCTCCAGCCGCCTAATCATTTTGGTTGCCCTCTATTGGACTTTCTCCAATGTGTCCACATCTTTTCTATAGTGGTGGCCCCAGAATTGGATGCAATACTCCAGATGTGGCCTCACCAGTGCCAAATAAAGGGGAATAATCACTTCTCTAGGGGTGTGTCTAGACTACAGGTTTTTTTTGAAAAAAGTGGCCTCTTTTCAAAAAAACTTCCCCTGTGTCTAGACTGTTGCTATGTTCTTTCAAAAGTAAATTGACCGCACAAAACCTCGTTTTACAAGGCATAACGCCTTTTTTCGAAAGTGCTCTTTCAAAAAAAAGCGCTATGTAATGCAAACTGTGCTATTTCGAAAGAGAGCATCCAGACTGTCTAGGTGCTCTCTTTTGAAAAAGCGGCTCGCTTTTTTGAAAGTACTGGTTGTAGTCTAGATGCTCTTTTTCGAAAGAGACTTTTTGAAAGTATCTTTTTAAAAAGCCTCTTTCAGAAGAAGCTTGCAGTCTAGATGTATCCTTGATCTGCTGGCAATGCTCCTCCAAATGTACCCTAATATGCCATTAGCTTTCTTGGCTACAAAAGCACATTGTTGATTCATATCCAGCTTCTCATCCACTGTAATCCCTAGGTCCTTTTCTGCCAAACTGCTGCAGTCCCCAGCCTGTAGCAATGCTTGATATTCTTCAGTACCAAGTGCAGCTCTCTGCATTTGTTCTTGTTGAACCTCATCAATTTCTTTTGGTCCAATCCTCTAATTTGTCTAGGTCACTCTGGACCCTATCCCTGCCCTCCAGTGTATCTACCTCTCCCCCTAGCTTTGTGCCATCCTCAAATTTGCTGAGAGTGCAATCCATTCCCTCATTGAGGTAATTATTAAAGATGTTGAAAAAAAACAGCCCTAGTACTGATTCTTGGAGCACTCCGCTTACATCGAGCTGTTGATCACTACCCATTGGGCCCAACAATCTAACCATCTTTCTATCCACCGTACAGTCCATTTATCCAATCCATACTTCCTTAACTTGCTGGCAAGAATACTGTGGGGAGACTGTATCAAAAGCTTTGCTAAAGTCAAGATATCGCACGTCCACCACCTTCCCCATATCCACAGAGCCAGTTACATTG